TCTGTATCTCCCTCTTCATAATTATTGTATCTTTGAGTCCTTATTTTCCTGACTTTATGTTCTTTTGAAATTGTTTTTAAATTTTTTATAGTTTAGAACACTTTCAGGAAATTGTCTGTTTCTTGAATTGTGTTTTCTTTCAGACAGAGTTCTTCTTATCTGCTGAATGCTCTTTTTCCCTTCCCTCTGTTTTTCCTTTCTTTTCTTTTTTCTTTCTTTCTTTTTTTTTGGTATTATTCATTTTTGCTTCACATTATCACCTAGCGGTTTGCTTTTTCCCATGATGTTTATGCTTAATGCAGACAGTTCTGTCCATGCTTTCAATCTGTCCATACTCTATCTGTGCTCGGAAATAAAGACAGGTGACATCTCCTTAGCACCTTCCTAAGTCATCTCAGAATGTCATTTTCCCCTCTGAGCTAAATTTGATAGCTAATTATTTGTTCCAGTGTTTTACAGCTTAAGGGCTCCTGGTGATGGAAAGGAGAAAGTCTTGCTTCTGAGGTTTTGTTCAACTTCCTGTCCTAGGGTTCATTTCATATAGTCAGAGATGGATCCCACTGCTATGGAGGGATATTTTGGCCACTGCAATGGTCCCCAAATTTATTATTGAGCTTGGGAGGCTTCACTGTTAAAGAAAAGATCTAATTCTTCATTTCCTTCATTGCACCTATCTTTCCCCATCAGCCATTTCAACTGTCTCCTAATCAGAAAACAGAAAACTCAGTTATTTATGGTTTTTTTTTTTTCTTCAAACTTTGGGGTTATTAATGAAAATTCTGAGGATTTCATTGACTTAGCAACAAGGCTTCTGGGTGATGAGAGTCTACTCGCCTTACCTTGCCACTCCAAAATCTCCTGTTTGTTTTTTTGACTGCTACTTTATTTATGTTTTCATCTTTTCCCTTTATTCAAAAATTACAAAGCCTTTTTTTGGTCGTTTCAATGAGTAGAGAGTATTTTAAGGCTAATCCACCCTACCTGTAATATAGGCCTAAATCACTTTATAATATCATGATTCCTTTTGTTTGTTTGTTATTTTTATTTTATTATTCTTTTCTTTCCAACCTTTGTTTTCACTTCAGGGAATTCACGTGCAGGTTTGTTACATGAATAAACTGCATGTCGCAGGGGTTTGGCGTACAGGTTATTTCGCCATCCAGGTAATGAGCATAGTAGGCAACAGGTAGTTTTTGGATCCTCACCCTCCACCCACCCTCCACACTAAAGTAGGCCCCTGTATTAGTACATTCTCATGCTGCTAATAAAGGCATACCTGAGACTAGGTCATTTATAAAAGAAAGAGGTTTAATGGACTGTCAGTTCCACATGACTGGGGAAGTCTCATAATCATGGCAGAAGGCAAAGGAAGATCAAAAGGACTTCTTACATGGTGGTGGACAAGACAACTTGTGCAGCGAAACTCCCATTTATAAAAACACCAAGGCTAGGTGTGGTGGCGCACGCCTGTAATCACAACACTTTGGGAGGCCGAGGTGGGTGGGTCACTTGAGGTCACGGGTTCGAGACCAGCCTGGCCAACATGGCAAAACCCTGTCTCTACTAAAAATACAAAAAATTAGCTGGGAGTGGTGGCGCGCAGCTGTAATCCCCACTACTCGGGTATTGAGACAGGAGAATTATTTGAACACAGAAGGTGGAGACTGCAGTGAGCCGAGATTGCACCACTGCACTCCAGCCTGGGCAACAGAGTGAGACGCCCCCTCAAAAACAAACAAACAAAAATAATATAAACAACAACCAAAAAACCCATGAGATCTCGAGATTTATTCATTACCACGCGAACAGTATGGGGAAAACTGCCCCATGATTCAATTTTCTCCACCTGGCCCTGCCCTTGACATGTGGGGATTATTACAATTCAAGGTGAAATTTGGGTGGGGACACAGTTAAGCCATATCAGTCCCAGGGTCTCTTGTTGCCTGTTTACTTTTTGGGTTTTTGACACAGAGTTTTGCTCTTGTCACCCAGGCTGGAGTGCAGCGGCACGATCTTGGCTCACTGCAACCTCTGCCTCCTGGTTTCAAGAGATTCTCCTGCCTCAGCCTCCTGAGTAGCTGGGATTATAGGCGTGCACCACTATGCCTGGCTAATTTTTGTATTTTTAGTAGGGATGGGGTTTCACCATGTTGCCCAGGCTGGTCTCGAGCTCCTGACCTCAAGTGATCCGCCTGCATCGGCCTCCCAAAGTGCTGAGATTACAGTCATGAGCCACAACGGCCGGCCTGTTGTTCCCTTCTTGATGTTCATGTGTTCACAATGTTTAGCTCCCTTTTAGAAGAGAGAACATGTGGTACTGGTTTTCTGTTCCAGCATTAATTTGCTTAGGATGCCACTTAAAAACATTTATGGAGTTAGGGTTTCCTTTTCCTTGTCTGGCTACTTCTTTCTGCTGTTTTTTTTTTTAAAAAATTATTTTCCTTAATATGAAGAAAAGGAGATTCTGTGCTTTGGTTTCACTCCACCAGCTTTACCAATTTATAATCTTTACAGTTCCCATTTCCTACCTGGTCCTTGGCAAATGAAAGCTAGTCTAACTCCAAGCACATGGGTTGAAGTATCTTCTGAAATACTTAAACGTGATGATTCAGGTGCTCTAAAAAAATTACATAACTAGCTTTCCCTAGAAGAGGAAGCCCTAAGGACTCAAAGTGTCTTCTGGCATCAATGTAGGTTCCTTTCTTTTTTAGCATAAAATATTAATCCTAATGTACTAACCTGCAAGTTGAATAAAATATATCCCCCATAAGGTTGTCAGAAAATGCAGAGTGCCCACTAAAATTTGAATTATAGATACAGTGTAATGAATTTTTTTTTGTTTTTTTGTGTGTGACGGAGTCTTTCTCTGTCGCCCAAGCTGGAGTGCAGTGGCGCGATCTCGGCTCACTGCAAGCTCTGGTTCCCAGGTTCACACCATTCTCCTGCCTCAGCCTCCCAAGTAGCTGGGACTACAGGCATCCGCCACCACACCCGGCTAATTTTTTGTATGTTTTAGTAGAGACAGGGTTTCAGCATGTTAGCCAGGATGGTCTCGATCTCCTGACCTCGTGATCCATTCGCCTTGGCCTCCCAAAGTGCTGGGATTACAAGCGTGAGCCACCGCACCAGACCTATGAATTGTTTTTTTAAAGTATAAGTAGGTCCCATGCAATATTTGGGTCATGCTTTTACTACACAATGGTTTGCTATTTATCTGAAATTCAGATTTAACTGGGTTTCCTGTCTGGTTTTTCCTTCCCAAACCTGGCAGCCCTACTCTATCACCACCATCTTATGAGAATGTTTTCTGGGTCTATTGGATACCTCTCCTTCAGTATTTTCCTGATATCACTGATATCCTCATCTCTGTTACTAGTGGATTCATTGCTATGTCCTTTCCTTAGCCAATCCTATAGTATGACTTAACTCTTAAGTTTTAGATAATAAATATTGGCAGATGGTAGAACATTGTACAGTAAGTAACATTTATTACTAATTATTTAGCATTCAGCCAAAGAGCAGTAATAAAGGATATAAGATAGTCTTTGAGTGACCAAAATAGATGTCATAAATTCCATGCCCAAAATGCTCATTTTCTTTCTTCATAGATGCTCGTATCAGGCTTTTGCTCAAAATATTTTAACTCCTAAATACTGACTACATAGCAGACCACGGCAGAACAGAAATAGCAGATCAGGGGAACTGCTTGAGTTTAGGAACAAGGACAACAGGTGCATATCACAGCAGGACAAGGGAAGGAGACAGGAGAATGAGAAACAGACCCTAGGAAGTTGTGGAACCACTGGGTGCAGAGTACATAGCTCTGGCCATTTATGTGATCTCTGAAGGCACCACTGTGGCAACATTCCGTGTCATGGAGCCATAAGCTGGCATTCAGCTGGAGGGTGTATTGGGACAATATTGGTATTAGTAACAGATACCTGAATCAATTCACTAAAGCACAGGGAATGTATCGATTCATGTAATTTAAACCCAGGTTAGGTGACTTCATGAACTGTTGAATTCAGGTGCTCAAACAGGGTTGTTTGTAATCTCTCTCTCTCTTTTATCTCTATCTCTTTATCTATCTGGTCCACTTTGCTCTGTGTTGTATTTCTTTCTAGGCAGGTTCTTCCTTTATGATGGCAAGATTGGCTAGTAGTAGTTCAAGATGCATATATATATATGTATATGTATGTATATATATGTGTATGTATATATTTTAAGAAGGAGTTTCACTCTTGTTGCCTAGGCTGAAGTGCAATGGTGCAATCTCAGCTCACTGCAACCTCCACTTCCCAGGTTCAAGCGATTCTCCTGCCTCAGCCTCTTGAGTAGCTGGGATTACAGGCACCCGCTACCATGCCTGGCTAATTTTTGTATTTTTAGTAGAGACAGGTTTTCACCATGTTGGCCAGGGTGGTCTCAAACTGCTGACCTCAAGTGATCCTCCTGCTTCAACATCCCAAAGTGCTGGGATTACAGATGTGAGCCACCACACCCTGATGTATGTTTTTAGTGCCTAGAAGTACCTAACAGGCAGGTAGTAGACATCCATTAATATTTGTTATATGAATGAATGACTACAAGTAGGATGGGCCCTGAACAATTTGTGATAAAGAGGATGCACTTTGTTTCAGCATATTGCTAGGGTTTTTGTTTGCTGGTTGAAACAGTAACCCCACTGGAGAGAGAAAAAGCAGAGAGTGAGACAGAGTAGGGGATGGAGAGCTTTTCTCACTCTCAGGAGTGGCAGGAGAGTTCTGGGTTGGCTGTGATTGTTTTACCCTCGTATTTACCTCTGTCATCTAGATCAGAGGCTGGAGTCACTTTCTGGAGCCTTTGAGCTCTGACAGTATGGAAATCACCAAGTGAGCTAAAGATACTCAATAACACTCTCGTGCCTTTGGAACTTCTGTTATGTTATTACTCTCTGGGATTGGTTTAATAATTTGTGCTGTCATCAAAATTTCCAAAGTAATTGCTAATTTTTCTTTCAGGCTCAGGCTGCATGAAGAAAAGGTTATTAAAGATAGACGTCATCATCTCAAGACCTACCCAAACTGTTTCGTCGCAAAAGAACTGATTGACTGGCTGATTGAACACAAAGAGGCTTCCGACAGAGAGACGGCAATTAAACTCATGCAGAAATTAGCAGACCGGGGCATTATTCACCATGGTAAGTGAGGTGGTGAGTCAAGGTGACTTGAGAGAAAATGAAGGACTAAATCTTTTCATGAACATACCCACTTAAGAAAGAAAACATTTTGCTTTATTTTATCTCTACTGTACCTCTCCCTGATTTCATTTTCTTCCTCCCTCTAAGAGGTATTTTGGTTATTTCTTTTTTTTTTTTTTTTTGTATTTTCAGTAGAAACTGGGTTTTACCCTGTTGGTCAGGGTGGTCTTGAACTCCTGACTTCAGGTGATCTGCCGACCTCAGCCTCCCAAAGTGCTGGAATTACAGGCGTGAGTCACTGTGCCCAACTAGCATTTCGGTTATTTCTATGTACTGCTTTATACCTCTTTCTCTATTCATCTTTAAGGAATGCATCATATTGTTTTAAAAGTTTTCTCTCATTATAGAAGTGCATATTTATTCTTTTGCAACTTGATCAACACACTGTGAGCTTCATCCACGTTGATAGTATATGTCTTATTTGTTATTTTTCTGTTGTATAATACATGTGTATAATTATGCCACTATATATTTTTCAGTGGGCATTTATGTGGTTTCCAAGTTTTTGCTGTTACTCTCAGTGGGTTCAATAAAGATTCACCAACATGTCTTCTTGAAATCTCTCATCCTGGCCTCGACCTTTGCACATGTCATCGTTCTCTTGGAATGCCCTTTCCCCTCACGTTTTGCCCATTTTCTTTGTTCTTCAGGTCTCCACTTACGTGCAAACTCTTCAGGGAAGCTTTCTTTTTCCAAAGCTGGGTCACTGTGTTCCTGGGGCACTGGGCACTCTTCCTTTAGGCTCCCATTGCACTCTGTCCTTACCTCTGTAGCCTTATCATATCATATTTCAATTATAGTTGACATTTTTCCTTACCTCACTAGATTTCACATTCTTTGAGGCTGATGCATGCCCCAATATGCTTTAGAAGAGTTTGTGGATTGCTTCATGAATTGAATTATGTGAACTTCCTAAAGATGATGATGATGATGATGATTATGGTGATGGTGATGGTGATAATAATAGCTAAAAATACTGAGGACTTACTCTGTACCAAGTGCTATGTAACTATTTTACATGTGTTAGCTCATATGGTAGATACTTGCATGCATGAAGAATTTGGTGGTGAAATAATTCTTAATTAGCATCATACTTCATTTGAGTAATTAAATAAGAGTGATTTTTTTTCTCATTTGCTTCTCTGTGCATATTGTGTTTCAGTGTGTGATGAGCATAAAGAATTCAAGGATGTCAAACTCTTCTACCGCTTTAGAAAGGATGACGGCACCTTCCCATTGGATAACGAAGTGAAGGCCTTTATGAGGGGACAGAGGCTGTATGAAAAGTATGTTCCACATGAAATCCCCACTGTAATCTTGACTGGTAGAGAGAAGCAGAACTGTGCCAGTCTCATTATGTTGATTTCAGCATGGCTCTTCCATGTGGGGTGGTTACATAACTGTTCTTTTCCATATGAGAAAACTATCACCCATTTGCTTTCTCTTTGCCAGAAAATAAGTCAATTTCATAAGATTCTTATTAAAGAATGTATTTAAATCTTATTTTCTATATTTAAGTCAATTCTACAAAGCTCCAGAATTTTTGTTTACCATCAAAAGATGTGGATGCCCCTTTTCCTTTCTTATTTTTATTTATTTTTTGGCACTGAGTCTCACTCTGTTGCCCAGGTGGAAGTGCAGTGGCATGATCTCGGCTCACTGCAACCTCTGCCTTCTGGATTCGAGTGATTCTCGTGCCTCAGCTCCTGAGTAGCTGGGAATACAGGCGTGAGCCACCACACCTGGCGGATTTATGTATTTGTAGTAGAGACAGGGTTTCCCCATGTTGGCCAGGCTTTTCTCAAATTCCTGACCTCAGGTGATCTACCCACTTCAGCCTCCCAAAGTGCTAGCATTGCAGGTGTGAGCCACCGTGCCTGGCCCCCTTTTTTCTTTTAAATACTGTTGTTGTATAAATTGGAGGTTCAGGCTTGTAAGTGACTGGAGAAGCAGCATCAAGAGCAGGGGAATTGGTCAGACCAGGAGACCAGTAGTGGGAGAACTTCAGATAGCAGGATGTCTATGAGGAATAAGCTTTCAGCTCTTTCAAGAGATAAGTACAGTGTAGCACAGGAGTATTTGGTTGATGGGTCTCGAATCTTCTGAGTGGGCATCTCTGGGTTTATCTGCTACTTCTGTGGCCTCTTTACCATCCTGCCTTCCTCATTTAGTTTTCCAGGGCAACCATTAGAAAAAGGGGTGCAGAAGCAATGGTACCTCCTTTGTAACCCTGGCTGCCTTACAAGACTTGAGGGAATTGAAAAACACATATTTATCGGCCAGGCACCGTGGTTTATGCCTGTAATCCTAGCACTTTGGGAGGCCGAGGTGGGTGGATCACTTGAGGTCAGGGGTTCAAGACCAGCCTGGCCAACATGGTGAAAGCCTGTCTCCACTAAAAATACAAAAACTAGCCCGCCATGGTGGTGAGTGCCTGTAATCCCAGCTACTCGGTAGGCTGAGGTAGGAGAATCGCTTGAACCTAGGAGGCAGAGGCTGCAGTGAGCCGGGATCACATCACTGCACTCCAACCTGGGTGACAGAGTGAGACACCATCTCAAAACTAAAACAAAAACAAAACATATTTGTCACATAAAATAGCCTGTTCTATAATGGGTGGGGGTAAGGGTCTGGGTGGGTGTCTGAGTGATCAGATTAATTGGCATGACGGTTAAAAGCCAGACAGAGTTTGAAGTGTAGCCCTGTCACCTTACCTTTGTAAAGCTCAGTGTCCTCTTTAGTGACATGACAGCAGCAATAGAACTCACCTCCTAGTGCTGTTGTGGGAATTAAAAGGCTTAAGTATTTAGCTCAGGATCTCTGGTGTATAGTAAGACTTCACAGAGGATAGCCATTCCAGATATGAGTACAGTACTGATGGCCACCCTCGACTGTGTCCTTCCTGTGTTATGCACTCTGTCCCAGTTCTTGTCTCCGTTTCTTGAGGTGGTATGGTCACCACTTGATGTCCTAATTTGTACTCAGTCTACTATCACTTGCTTTCTATATTGAAATGGAGAAACTCTCTCATCTTTCTGACTCACATGAATTTGAATGGAAGGGATCCATCAGTACCTCCACTTGTTTACTTGAGTGTGTGCATTTGTTTTGTTGCTTTCTTTTAATTTCTTAGTTCCTTTTGTAGAATTCTAGCAGGTGTTGGGTATTTCAGTTACGATGATGTTCCTTTCAAACAATGATTCTATGTTGGCCAAAACATGCATGTCATCTCCATGGATGAAGGCCAGTGGATTCTGTAACACTTTTCCTTTTTTTTAATTAAAAAAGATTAACAATATTATTATTATTATTATTTATAAAGACAGGATCTTGCTCTGTCTCCCAGGCTGGAGTGCAGTGGCATTATCATAGCTTACTGTAACCTTCAATTTCTGGGCTTAAGTGATCCTCCTGCCTCAGCCTCCCAAGTAGCTAGGAGTACCGACTTATGCTACCACGTCCAGCTATTTTTTTTTTTTTTTTAAACTTTTTGTAGAGACAGGATCTCATTATGTTGTTCAGGCTCATATCAAACTCCTGTCCTCAAGTGATTCTCTTACCTTGGCCTCTCAAAGCATTGGGACTAAGCCGTGAGCCACTGTACCTATAACACTTTTCTCTAGCTACAGCTTATCTCTTGGGATCCGCATAACCACACTGTGGGGCAGGGATCAGCTATAATTGAAAATGTCTGGCAGAGAACTGTTATTGCTTAATGGGATAGTTATGATGGCAAGATAATAATAAGAAAAGTTAAAGTTGCTCACACCTTCTGGAAAGCAGACTTACTCCAGCCTCATATTCCGTTGCATCTCCTTCCACCCTGTGGACCAGTCACACAGCACTGTGTATCTCTGAGCATGTTCTTTCCTTTCAGGAGATGCATTAATGCATTAATTATTCAACAAATCTATATTGAGCCCTTTCCACTTGCTAGGCACAGCTAAAGATGCTAGAAATGCCTGTAGCAAAGCCCCTGCCTTCATGAGCTTGCACTTCAGTTAAAGAGGCAGACATTAAAGGCACAGACACATGAAGATGTGATATAGTATAACACGGGTGTCATCGGTGCTAGAAAGAAAAATAGATTTACTGAGGATGGTGGGGTACTTTAAATAGGGGGATCGGGGAAAATGTTTTTGAAGAGATGACATATGAATAAAGGAAGACTTGCAGATATCTGGTGGAAGAACATCCCAGGCAAAGGGAATGGTAAGGATAAAGGCTTTGAGAAGGGAACGTGCTGGACATATTTAAGGGCAGTAATGAGACCAGAGTGTCCAGAGGGCAGAGGAAAAGAGGAGAGTAGTAGGAGATGAGGCAAGGCCAGTTCATAATAGGGCCCTTAAAACCATGGCAAGAATTGATGATTTTAAGTGTAATGGGAGGCCGTTGGAGAGGAGGGAGTGAGGAAGTGGCAATCTGATATACTTTTTGCATGTGCCGTTCTCTCTGCCTAGAGGACTCATGCCACTCTCACCCCTTTCCCTAAATCACTGACTCCTGTGGCTTCACGTTAATTGTGAAGGTAGCTTGAGTAATGTGTGGTGGCTCATGCCTGTAATCCCAGCTCCTTGGGAGGCCGAGGTGGGCAGATCACCAGAGGTCAGGAGTTTGAGACCAGCCTGGCCGACGTGGGAAACCCCATCAATATGAAAAATATAAACATTAGCTGGGTGTGGTGGTGGGCACCTGTAATCCCAGCTACTCGGGAGGCTGAGGCAGGAGAATTGCTTGAACCTGGGAGGCGGAGGTTGCAGTGAGCCGAGATCACACCACTGAACTCCAGCCTGGGTGACAGAACAAGACTCCATATCAAAAACAAAACGAAACAAAAAACCCACAAAAAGCAAAACAATGTTTATTGTTTGTAAGTTAAGCTTCTTAAAGCACTTCCTTTAGATTATTTTATCTAAGCTTCTTTTTAAAATAGATGGAGCATTACTTTACTGGCCCATTTTCAGAGAGAGCATCTGGGATCCAATGCATTTAAGTAATTTATATGTGATGTTGACACAGTTTGCGAGGGACAGGGGTGAGACAAGAACCTGGGGTGGCAGGTGTTGGGGCCGCTGCTGTCTCAGCAGCTCTGAGGGGGCGGGCGTATTGTCAGTATTTCTTTTTGGCTCTTTTCTTGCTTGTTTGTTCTGTGTTATAAATAGGACTTTGTGAAACTTTGTGGTTTCTGACTGAGGTTTTGCTGAACCATGTTGATTTTGGGGAACCCTGGCTTTCTGGGTTTTGTTTGTTTGTTTGTTTTTATTTATAAGAGTCTCACTCTGTCGCCCAGGCTGAAGTACAGTGGCATGATCTCGGCTTACTGCAACCTCTGCCTCCTGAGTTCAAGCGATTCTCGTGCCTCTGCCTCCCAAGTAGCTGGGACTAGAGGTGTATGCCACCACACCTAGCTATTTTTTTGTATTTTTAGTAGAGATGGGGTTTCAACCTGTTGGCTAGGCTGATCTGAAACTCACGGCCTCAAGTGATCTGTCTGCCTCGGCCTCCCAAAGTGCTGGGATTACAGGCGTGGGCCAGTGTGCCCAGCCTGGGTACCCTGGCTTTCTAACCCATAGCAGTGTTTCTCAGACTGCTCATTGGTGGGATAAACCCAAGTCTGAAAACTACAATTTCAGTAACTCTGCTGGCTCTTAGTATGTATGTCACTCTAGTTACTTTACTTGAGACATGCTGGAACAAACACTAATGAAGAAGCCAGAAGCTGGCCCTTTGAAGTTGTCCCAGTGTGAGTGAGGAAAGCTTTAGAGGAACTGGAGGCACGGATCATCCTGCATAGTGAGTGACAATGGCTGTAGGCTCTGGAGTCACACAGCCTGGGTCTTCCATCGCAGCTTCACAACTTGCTTGCTTTGTGACCTTCAGCAGGCTGCCTAAATCTCTCTGATCTGCAGTCTACCATGGAGATAAGGCTGGGACCCACTGCTGGAAAACGCTGTAGCGGGGACTGATTGAGATCCATCTGTACAGTGCTGAGCACACTGCTTGACGTGGACTGAGAGCCTAGGGAATGTTAGCTGTTGTTATTAGAGTAGTAAATAATAATATCAATACGTGACACCTATTCTTCTTGTTTTCTCATATTATTTTAGGATGCAGCCTTGCATAGCAGATAAGAGCCCAGGAGCCCAGCTACCTGGGTGTGAATCTTGGCTCCATGCCTTGGGGCAAGTGGCTTTATCTCTATGTCTCCATTTGCTTATCTAGTAAATGGAGATACTGACTATGCTGACCTCATAGACGTGTTGTGGGGGTAAAACGGACTAATGGA